CGCTGCTGCCGCCTCTGACATGTCCCAGCTTCATTCGTGGACCGTTTTCCTCTCTTTTTTATTTTTTTTTCTCCATTCCAGAGCCACTCAGTACACATGCATGTTGCTTAGCTATCTAATAGAGCGTAAGGCTGGTAAAGAGAAGCTGGTAATGAAAATCAAGCAGTTGGAATCTAGCATGAGCTCTGGGCGGAAAAGTAAGTACCTGAGGTCCGGAGGGATAAGTGCTCCTTCACCTGCTGCTTCCAGCAAAACAGCTCCTGGCCTTGTGTCTCCTGTAGTTAATTTACCCTGGGCCCCAAAGCCTCTTTTACTATATTCACAAAATTGTCAACAGACCTTATTCCTGCCGGGGCTTGCCAGGCCACATTGGGCCAAGCAGGCATTTATCACTTCCTCAGCCTCCTCTCCGATTAGGCAATCTGGATTATCGCTGGGAGGACTAGAGAAATAATTTAGCTGACATCTGGTGCTGCAGAAGTCGAACTGTCATCTCCGTTCAAAGGGCAGACCGCAGAGCCACGGTGCAAGGCTGGCTCACTGTGCTCACATCAGTCCTCTCAGTTAATGGGACAGCCTAAGGTTCAACATCATCATCCCCATAAAATCACCTCTGGAGGACCATCCTTCAGTATGACCTTCTGTATCCTGCTTCACATATTAATTTTCTTTAGCATTGATGCTCTACTAAATCATACACCCTTCTGTACTTTCCTCATAGTCTAACTGTTTGCATCACTTCATTCTGTGTCGAGGTTGCATCCATTATGGTTACGCTGTTGCTGTGGGTGTATTGCTCGCTTCCGGGTTGATCTTACACTGCTTATCAATTGCTTAATCCTGGAGCAACTTCAATATATGAGGCAAATACTCTAATTTACCATGGATTTGGTTTATTATTCCAGTTAGGTCCAGAGTATGGTAATTTCTAGCAGAGAGGCCAGCTGGCTTATCAGCATAGCCATAATTCTCTTGCTTCTGCTGAACAAATCACTAATAGACGTCAGACCTAAATTCAGGACTCTTGCAGTTCCACTAAGCTTGGGTGCTGCCAACATCTGTCACTGTGGCAGTACAGCAGTTTGTGAAAAATGTTTTGCATAATCACAGAATCATAGAATTCACAGGGCAAAACCTAAACTGTGCAGTGGATGAAATCAGGCTTGTTGTATATTGTAGCTCGAAAGGGAATAAACTGTTCCTGTTTGCAGGGAACTACTTGTGCCTCTGACAAATTCATGGCTGAGGAAGGACTTGGGTCTTGGTGTGCTCGGCATGTGAAGCACCAGCTCTCACAGGAGCTTAGGGAAGTTGTAGCTCGCGGTTGCAGTGAGCTTAGTGCGGTAACATCTCCTGTCCACAGAGTTAGGTGAAATCCAGTGCAGCGTACAGCTGAAATTTGGAGGCTTTTTGCGTCACCTTTTTGCTGACACTGACTCGTTCAGAGCCGTGGGTGATGTTGGTCCAGAGGAGAGCCAGGCGCTGAGAACAGCGCAACAGGAGAAGGCTGCAAATCCCGGCTGTTGGCAAAATTTGTATGTAGGTCCTGGGCTGGTGCAGGACCGAACTGAGGTGTTTACACCCTTTCCTTGCTAATACTAGCTTCTCACGCTGTGAGAAGACAATGCCTAAGGATACAAATGCCCAAAGGCCACTATGTTTTTCAAAAGCATGTGCGGACATGCCGAGTTGTCCTGCGTAGGGCTGTGTCTCTGCGGTAAAGGCCAGGCTGTGCTAACCTTTTTGGGGTTTCTTGCAGTGTTAAGACTGGGCAACATGGTACATGCCTTGACAGCAGCCAGAAGAACTACGCAGCTGCCAAATGTGGTTCCTCGTGTCTGCCTTACAGCCTCCAACCTGACCCGTGCCCTCTACTTCGTCTGCGATACGGTCCTGTGGTTGAAGAGCGTTGGACTCCAGCCTGACATTGATAAGCTCAAGTGGCGGAATTGGGCTACCAAGTGTTACTACTGTTCACTCCTGATGAGTCTAGCCAGGGACTGGTATGAGATCTCCTGGAGGGTGGAACAAGCTGTGCAGGAACAAAAGATGAAGGAGAATTTCCTCTGGGACAAACACAGTCAGGAGCTAAACTGTGTGAAATGTGATGGTTTGCCTGGTTTTCTCCTTCTGCTCTTTCAGATACTGAAGAGACATCCTCCTTTGCTGCTGGACTTGGTGAAGAATCTCTGTGATCTCTCAGGTCCTTTGGATACACTAGGGATCTACAAGACCAACCCAGGGGTTATTGGTTTCTGTGGCATCATCTCCTCCCTGGTGGGGATCCTCACATTAGCAAGCCCACATCTGAAGTTGAAACAGTGACATAAAAGGAGTTGCACACTATGCAGGGAGCCAACAGTTTTGATCCTGTGATAGGTTTTTATCCTCCATATAGCACTTTCAAAATTAACATCTCATAATAACCTCAAGATTAACTTTGCCCTCTGAATGAGTGAAATCTCCCTGTTGAATTCTTCCCTGTGTCTCTGCAGATGAGTTTGGTGCCAATGACACACTCCCTGATGGAGTGGAGAGGGGAGAAGGCAGAGTAATGTTTCACAACATGAAGCAAGACTTGGAACATGGCTGCTAATTAAGGAAATACTGACATCCCTATATTGTAATACAGGGTTGTGAAATAGGTGCATAGATATCTGTAATAGGTAAATGACTCATAACCGATCATGTTTACACAGGAAAGCTGAAATTCGCCACTCAAAGGTTTCTACAGTCAGATTTTCTCTAGTGGGCTCAGGCAAGTTACGGCTGTGCTTAAAATGTCCTGAAGTGAAGTACGAGTGTTCTGATGGGTTTGGGTTGATGGATCCTGTTATCTGACGGCAGGGTGATAGTAACTGGAGTGGTATGATTTGTCCTCCTGATGATCTCTGTAACGTGCACTGGTGACACTGGATCTGCGGTCTAGCAAATGCAAACTCGTGTCCCAGGAAATCAGCACTTTCTTTTTTTCCTTCAATAATGTGAGCGAAGGATTGTCGGCCACCAACTGACTTCTCCAGGAGGCCACAGCTGACGGTTTTAGTGAACGACAGCGTGTGGGAGAAGCTTCTCTGAGTGCTGACAATGCTGTGATTTGTAGGGAACTGGATTTCTAAAGCTGTGAATCTAGAACTGCTCACAAGCACTGAATTTCCCTTTACACACACACCTTAACTCCCCCATGATTCCAAGTGCAACAATTTCCCATTAATCATACTGTGATAAGGAGCTGGCTTTGCTGTTCTAATTTTATGTGAAAAAATCCAGTATAATAAGGAGCTTTGGAAACTGCGGTTAAGGAGAGAAGCCTGGCTCAGAGCTTGTTGAGTCAGAAAAACGGCAAGGGTGTGTTTCTAATTGTGCAAGCTCCCAGAGGAAAGGGAATGGAGTTGGTCGTGATGATATCAGAATCCCCTGTGAAAAGAAAAGTTTGTTACTGGATCTGGGCATTCATGGTTTAGATTTTCTTGTCTGGTCCTCCCTATCCTCCCCTATCACAGCCACAAGATTTCTTGTGTGTTCCCTCGCTGGTTGAATGGGTTCTACCATTTGGAAATGTGTTTGCCCTGCAACTGCATTTATTGTTCATTACTTACCTTGCTGGGAACTATTGCCTGGCAGTTAAAGGAAAGGGTTAAAGGAAAAATGCTGTGTCCAGCTGCCTAACATGACATGCAGTCCTTGTTGCTCCTGACTTTGCACAGTACCAGTTCTGACACCATCTGAGGAAAATTGGCGCATTATACGGGAGATAAAGCTATTACTTTTCTTCATCGAGGTTAGGCTGGTGTGTTCTGCTCCCTTCTGGTGCATGGACTTCTTGTTTAATCTGTCAGAGGATGTGAACAGACTAACTTGGACCAAGGTGCTCTCTTACTAATTCTGGTGCTGTCTGAAAACAGAAATCGAGAGGTGCTGATCTTTATTAAAAGGTGAAGGCTGTGGAACTGAGTCAGTGTGGTAAGGTAGTGCCCCAGTTTACCTTAAGTCATGCGGTCAGGCTTGGAATTACTTCCAGATCAAATCTGAGGTGTTAGACTGCCAGTGAAGTGTTTGATAAAAGAAGTTGCTGGGCGGGATAATTAGGTGTACTTGAAGAGCAGAGGTGGCCTGCAACAGCTCTTCTTTTTAATATGGAAATGAATACCATTGAAAGTAGAGCTGGCAGTGCAGGCCATAATGGAGCAGTATGTATGGGATATGTTGTCTTCAATGGCTTCCTCTCCCTTTTAACAACGGATTTTTTTTTGTTTCTTTACTCCATTTGCCTTTTTGCTCCTGGCAATGGGAAGCACATCCCTCCCTCGGACAGGTTTGATCATTATCCCAGTGTTAACAACCCCTGGAAGGAAGGAAGAAAGAGGAGTTTTGATGAGCTGGCAGCAGAGATTTGGCCACCTTTTGTCTACAGAACTTCATCATCTTGTAAAAAAATGTGTTTTGAATTCCTCTCAGGGGAGCTCTCGGATACAAAACCAGTTCTTTCACTGGTTTGCGAACTGATTCCTCTTTTTCTCTTGTATGCCATAGGTAAAGGGAAATGGATTTGTTAGTGATGTAGTCCCTAGCCTGCTACACCTCCCTGGGGAGACAGAAGGGTGCTTTTTTCCCTTGTGACAGGCAAACACTGTGCAAAACCCTGAGCTTTGGTGTTTCTCCTGTAGAGACTGGCCTGGATTAGCAAGTGCAGGCTTAACGTGGGAGATGGAGCAGTGAATTTTCAGCCTTACCTGTCCCGTTCTGCACCATGCAGGTTGGAACATACAGCATGTATGCACTGGATGTTATGCACTCATACTTGTCATCTGCTCCCCAGCTGAAGGCTAGCGATTTAATTTACCTTATCATAACATGACTGAAGCCATAGAATCATGATCGTATAGAAGAAAAAATTATTCTAGTGCCTTTTTTTGTACCTGTTTCTAATACAGCAGTTGGAGTAAGGGCAGCTGTTTGAACACAAGCAATAAACTGGAATGTGTGTGGCACCGTGTCTGTCTATAATTGCACGGGTTATAGAGCTGTCCTTTGGCAGTAGCACAGTGGCAGCCGGATTCATCAGACTAATTCACAATCCACGAGTCAGTTACAAGAACATGAGTACCAAACTATGTGAGTACCAAGTAAAACTGCGTGTATGAAATGCCCTGAAACAAAGGGACATTTTGAGAGTTGCCATCAGCTGTCCTTACCTGTTAAGGGCAGGGAGTGAAGGGTGACATCTCCAGCTGAGATGGGGAGGGATGGAGCCAGGATAACTATTAAAACTGAGCTTACTGTTAACTCTTATCCGCTGCATTAAGAGCCTTGCAAACTTGGAAGCTCCAGAATGTTATTTCCTGAACAATGCATAAAGCATTGCGTTCATCAATGTTTTAGTAAGAGTTTCCTTCTGAATTACTGGTCTCATGCACATTTTGTAATGGAAACAGTTGACAGAAGAGTGGTCTGTGTGAGATGTGCAAAGTAATCTTCCATTCTCCTTAAAGACAAGGCCCTCCTAATGTTAATGTGCTCGGCGTGGTATTTCAAAGAATGTGTGAGCCTTTTGGGATTCCCCGGTGAGAGGTAAGAACAATTAAAGGTCTAAAAACCAACATCTCCAGGGAGGGATCAAGTGAACCAGTTCTGTAGAGGAAAGGTGACTGGGTGAGAGAGTGAGGTTGTCTGCCAAGAGGAAGGCAATAAATCCGTCTCTAAACCCATCCAGGAGATAACACATTTATATTGCAGCAAAGGAGAATTAAATCACACTTCTTCTGAACTATAGGTAAAATAGAAGACTAAATGGATCGACCAGGAAGGCAGTCCTTAAAAAGAAACTGGGCAAACGTCTGCAAGCAGTGTTTTAGAAGGTGCTGCTCCTGCCATAGGGCATGGAAATGAATGTTACCTCTCCAGCCCCCTCCCATACCTAAGTGTAAAGATGCCTTGTCTTTGGGGATCTGGCTCATCTCCTCACCGTGAGATATTAATGAGTATGGAGCCGGCTGCAGAGGTAAGGGTGTAAAAACTGCTTCCCTGCACCCAGCTGGTGCGATGAGCTTAAATATTTGCAGAAACACCATTCTGGTGCGAGGGGTAGAGGCGGTGGTACCTTTGCTCTGCAGAGCCTGGGGCTGGCACAGCCTTTGACCCAGAGAAAGAGGAGGGGACTAGCAAAGGCATTAGTAGGGCACAGGCTGCGTTCTCTGTTGATCCCGACTCCAGCCAAGGCAGAGAGAAGGTTAGCATGCCCCCTGCGCTTTTAGCAAGGCCAATGGGCTTGGAAAAGAAGTCTCAGTGCCAAGAGAGCAAACTTTTGAGCAGGCTTCTGCCCTTTGTCCTGCTGTCTGGAGAGCAACTAACCCCACCGCCGAGCTGGAGGCAGCCCAGGAGACTCGCATGACTCCGTACCCAGCTAGCCAGGCAGGCCTGCGAGCTTTGCGGAGCCCCAAGCTGGAAGTGAATTCCAAGCTCTTTGAGGGGGAAGGGGGTATTTTCCTCCCACATGTGGATTTCCCACGTCTGGTCAAGACTAAAAAGAACAGCCTGTTTTGTCTTGCTGTCTGAATGAAGGTTCTAGGAAGGAAATCTCAGCTGAGGGACAGATTCACAGTGCCTAAAATTCAGGATTTGAGCTAGAGCACCAGAAATGGGCTTGAAAGAAGCACAAAATTCTTATGGGCTTCTTTTGTGGCCAAGATTAAAAAGAACAACTTGCTTTGTCTTACTCTTTGAGGGGAAAGGGGGTATTTTCCTCCCACATGTGGATTTCCCACGTCTGTGGGAAGTCTCCCACCCCCGCGTATAAGCAGGGAGCCACGGAGCTGTGTTGGGTGCACAGCTCCGCATCCTGCGCAGGGGTGCTGGGCAGCTGCAGGTGTTCAAGGACTTGGCTCTGGTGCTGAGCCACATACCAAGGGTCTCTCTGCCTTGTGCCAGGTGGTCCAGGACACACAGCAGCCTTGTGTCAGCAGGCTGCCTGCCTCTCACCCGCACCGATCCCCTTGGTTATTGCTTTGTCCTCTGGCATTTGTCCTCTTCCCACCACGTTCTTGTCTCATCAGCACATCTCATCCTTGACCTCTGCTGTCAATAACCAAAGCCTATTGCATCTCCACAGAGGTGGTGTCTTGTTTCTTTTCAATCCATAGCCCAAACGGATTTGTTAATTAGGATGGGAGCTGGCAGAGTGCCTCCCACGCAGCAAGGCAGGCTGGCCACAAGCAGCAGTAGTGAGAGTCTTGCCAGCAGGTCAAGGGGAACAGTTGTTCCTCTCTGTGAAGCATTTATGAGGCCACATTTGGGGAACTGTGTCCTGTTTTGGCCACAATGGCACA